ACTTTGTTGTTTACTTAATATAAAGAACCTTTAGCTTTCACGACTACTTCTTCTATAGTCCCAGAGTGCTTTAAACTAACCCACAAAGCTGCAACTTCTTTTTTAACTCTATTTCAATATTCAACTATGTGAGTACAGTACTTTAGTAAGGTTTTTATAAAGATTAATATATTAACTATATTATTTTTCTGTAGTTTGGCTTTTTAAAAAATTTGGTTCAAATGATCATCGGAGAAAGTTTGTGTGATATAAGTATAATTATTCAGATTTTGCTTTACACTGAAAGATCATAATAACTTTTAATTTTAATTATATAGCAATGAAGTTTCACTTCAAATTTATGACCAGATATATTTAAAAATCAAGTAATAATAGAATATAATATTAGAGTAAGCTAAATAAAAACTTAAGAGTAACAGACATTTAAAGGGAGGAATTTGCTAACCTTTTAAAAATTAGAATAAATATTATAAGATTTAGTTACAAATGCTATCTAAACTATCATTGCATATTGCTAGAGAAATTGTATCGAATAAAGGGGATGAGTGTCTCTCTGAAAAATATACTAATAATAAAACTCCAATGCTTTGGAGATATGCCAAATCTCATGAATAGTTTACAACTCTTGATAATATAAAGTATAAAAAAACATGATGTCCACAATGTCCTAGAAGATGTCCTACTCAAACTAGAACTATTAAGGATATGCAAATGCTTGCAGAAAAAAAAGATAGTTTTTGCCTTTCAGTTAAGTATATTAATAGACAAGATCCTCTTGAATGACAATGCAAAAAAGAACATAGATGGAAGGCTTAAGCTAAAGATATTCTCAATGGAACTTGGTGCTAGCAGTGCTGATTTCTTACTATTAATATGGAGACTACTCGAGACAAAGTCACAAGTAGCCCTTTTGTCATAAACTAAAAGATTACCACGATTAGTCATATACAAAATACATCACTATAGTCTAATAGATTAGTTGTTAAGCTCGTGTAGTAATACACTAATAGGATAAGGTTATACATTATGTATTTATGTATTAGTATTTTTTATGTATTAGTATTTTATGTATTAGTATTTATAGTAGTTCACGTTTAATCAGTTTGTTGTCTTTTTGCTTCGCTGTGCTCGACTAATAAGTCTAGCTTGGTCAGTAAAAATAAACCTGTTTTACAATAGAAAACATAAAGAATAAAACATAAGGAATAAAACATAAAACATAAAAAATAAACATAAAAAATAAACCTGATTTAGATAAAATAAATAAGCTTTTGCTTATGTATATCATAATGGAATGTTCTATGAGTTTGTACGAAGAACCTTTGCTTGATAGAGATTTTAATATGTCCTCTTGTGAACTGTCTGATGAGAATGTCATAGCAGAAACAAGTTTCTTGAATAGCCTTGATAGATTAACAGTCGATATATTACATGTTCTTTGTAAAGCAGAAGGGTTGCCTAGCATAGGAAACAAGAAAGAGATAGCAGAAAGGTTAGCAGCAAAGACAGCAAGCAAGTTAAAAGGAAAAGATTCAGTTGTCAGGAATCAGTTAGATCAAGCTAGTGAATGTGTAAATTATATAGAAGATAGGTCAAAAGCTGAGGTTCATAGAAAGGAAGCAGGTAATAATGTAGAGCAAGTAGAGTCTAATTACGATGAGGGGAGTAATAAACGATTCCATGAACCATTAAGTGTCTTTTTGAACCAGAATGAAGACAATAGGTTGGGTGAAGAAAGGAGATATTTGATATTAGAAAAGTTCTTAGAAAAGTCTTTACAAGCTATACTAGCTAAGGCTTTAGTAGAAATGAAGCAAAGTTTGTATGTTATTGGGAATAAAGTAGAGGAGAATAAGTTTTGGCCAGAGGTAAAAATGGATAGACCTAGAGACCAGTATGAATATGATGAGTAGCGCAAAATTAGAAAAGATCTGGATAAAGCCTTATTAACGAAGTCATTAGAACCTGTAATAAGGGCTCATGAGCTAGTTTATACATAGGCTTATACTCTTTGAGTTGCAAATAAAGAGAGTTGGGATATTGCAGCAGCTTTAGATAACTCAATAAGTGAAGACTCTATAGAAGCAGCCCTTAGAGAAAAACTCATTGTAGTAAGATAGTTAGCTAAGAGTAAGAAAAGAAAAACTAACTATCTTGCATCAGTATCAAGTTCAGGGTCTCAGTTAGCCTTTTCACAACTACATCTAGGTCTCAGTACTCAGAATGTACAACCATTTCAAAAATTTTCTAAGGAGCCAAGTAATATACTGTTAACATATAAAACATAAGGAAAAACACAAATTCCTTAATATCTTTCGATCCACCAGTCCGAATTAGATGAAACATATACTATTGAAATCAGCTCACTGAGATAGTTCTAATGAGCCAAGAATCATTGAAATCCAATTACTGGATCTCGAGATAATTAAGATCCAGCTTTTTATCATAATCTGTTCGATCTGATTA